TGTCTCTGTCTCTCTCTGGTGAGTGTACACACTGGAAACTAAAAAAAAAAAAAAACTTTTTAAATTAAAAAAGTTTGCCATCTGCTAAATTGGTCCCATAGGTGGAAAAACAGTGATCTGAGAACTTAAATGACCATGTTATTCCTTTTGAAATATTTTGGCTTCTTACTCTCTTCATGATAAAACTGAAACTTCCAACATCTGTATACCAGAGCTTCTATGATAAGACCCCTTACCTGGTTTGCCTGATCCACTCACTGGGGCTCATGTTTCATTAAAATAAATTAGTTAAGACTTTTTTTTAATTATTTAATTTTATTTATCATAATTTTAAAATTTGTTATATGGCACAATATGCTCTCTAGAAAGAGAGGGAGGAAAAGTGAGGAAGCACAAGCAACTAGGTCTGGGACTTGAACCGTTGTCAGCTATGTGGGAGTCCAGTGCCCCAACCACCATGCTACCTGCCAGCCCTAAGACTTTTTTTTAATGTCCTTAGTTTATGCTTGACCCATTGAACATCTTTTTCCACCACCATCTGTTTTTACAGTGCTTATTGAATATTCCTACCCATTCCTAAGACTCAGGTCAGACAGCTGTAACTAGAAAACCTTTCTTTAAAAAAAAATTATTTTATTTAATTTCATTCATTATTCTTAATTTATTATTATTATTATTTGACCAGAGAGAGAGACAAGGAAGGTGAGAAAGAAAGCCAACAGGTCTGGGACTCGAACTGTGGTCGCCCATGTGAGAGTCCAGCACTTTAACCACCATACCATCAGCTGACCTTCAGAAACTGTTTCTTTACATTCTTTGTCTTGCCACCAGGCTAGGTCAGATAGTTCTCTATAATACAGTGGGTCTTTTAAAGGTTCATTGGAAAGTATATTATTAAAAAAACTGTGTGTGGGACCAGCAGTTAGCGTAATGGCCCTGTCGCTGAACTCCCATGTAGTCGACCGTGGTTCGAGTCCTGAACCCAGTGGCTTAAACTCACACTGGGCATGTGTGCATGCGTGCCCAAGATCCCGAGAGGAAAATGGAGGAAAAGGGATTGCAGCGTGGCCATCCCCCCTGGGGGATGATTTCTCGCTTTCTATCTCTCTGTCTCTCTCTGTCTTTCTGGCAAGCGCATGTGCCCTATAGCAAAAAAACCTCTTAAAAAAAAAACTGTGCATGGATTTCAAACTTCAATTTGAAGTTCTCTTATATAATGTTACTTTGTTGTTACCTGTTTATTATTATGTGTCTTTTAATCTTAACTATCCCACAAGACAGTGAATATTTGAGAGGATAAGGATGTCTTCCATTAAACTAATCCCAGATGTTTGGAATGTAGCATGTTAGCATTTTTGGATGAATAAACAAAATGAAAAGATTTTTTTATTTAGAAATAAGATTCAACCAGAATCCCTTAAGATCTTTAACTTAGTTATTGTGGGTATATTTCTAGGTGCTTATTTTTTTGCTTGTTAATATCATTTGATGACCTATGAGCTCTAGGGTAGGTTCCATGATTTAAGGACAGAGCCTTTCTGCTTTAGATAATCTCTCAAGATTTTAATAATTAACAACCCACTGTAGCAATAGTCTATAATTTCATTATGTCTAATACTGTACCAGAGCTTGCAGAATACAAGAGTACAGATGATATAAATAAAAGGTTTGACATTTCATTTTAGTTGTGGGTCGGTCAATGATATAGAAGGTTAGTGAATTATTATCATTTCTCAGCCTTTGGCTAAGATCAAGTATAGGTTAGTGCATCAGTTTTGCCCAGGTAACTCTTATAAACCAAGACCCTTAGGTCAGTTAAGAGATGAAATTCTGCCTCCTGCAACAGCACCATCCATTTATGTCATACCTGAAAGGAAGTCAAGTTGTACAATTTTAGATATGGAAAGAATTCTTTCTTTAAAACAGAAATAGGACTGGTGGTTAAGATAGCCAGATCTCACATGGCCAACCTTGAGGTTTGAATCCTGGACCCAGTGGCTTAAAAGATGGACCAGGCATGTCTATGTGCGTAGCCCAAAGCATGACAGGATAGAAAAATAAAGGAGAAGAGAATGTGGCAAGACCATGTTCACAAGTCCCATGTGGAGTGTTTTCTCTCTCTCCCCCATTCTGCCAAGAGCATGCACCCTTTGTCAAAATTGAAACAAATTAAAAAACAAAAGCAAACAAACAAAAAACAAGTAAAATAAAGCTAAGGGACTCTTTAAAGCTGACAACTACATTTCACTGACTCCTATGCCAACTGGCTTCTGGTTCAATGTTGATGGAAGAATTTGTGAGGGTATAAGGTGGGAAGAAAGTACTCTCTTATTCTAGTCAGTGGTGGCAGCAGCAGCAGTAGTAAGAGTCTGGGTCACTCAGCAGCAAAGGTATAATTTTAGGTCCAGGAGCTTCAGTGGGAATATAGGCTCCCAATCTCAATAACTACTTTTCTCTTTTGCTCCTCTTGCTCAGCCAACAACCAGTGTAATCTTTTCCCTTATTAAATAAAACCTTTTCTATTTGAAATATCTAGAATAGTTTCTCTTCCTACTAGCACAACCTCTAAAGAAATCAGTGGTCTGAAAGAGTAATATACTTGCTTGTGGGCACATGGCAATGGTCATCCATGGCTAGCAATTTCGTTACAGTTCGTAAGTAAATCTAGACAGTGCTGAAAGTCTTCAGTGTGGCTGAAGTCCAACTTTGTGGTGTTTTTTGTTTTATTTTTAAAGAAGAATTGGTTTTAAGAGATTTTCTTTTTTTTTTTTTAAGGAGATTTTTGCTATAGAATGTGTGCACTCCTGCAGAGACAGAAAGTGAGAAATCACCCCCCTGGGGGAATGACCACACCACAATCCCTTCTCCATTCTTCTCTTGGGATTTTGGGCATGCATGCACATGCACCCAGCCTGAGTTTTAAGCCACCCCAACTGGTCAACAACGTGAGTCCAGCAATGTACCATTACACTATCCCAAGTTGGTTTTAAGAGGTTATCTGAGAGTTAGTTACCATACAGATAATATATGGATTTCAAGTTTTCAAATTATCAGGGTTTTGTCCCCTAATTTAAAAGATAAGTTATTTCTTATGATTTCATGACCACTTATCACCTATACACCAACTGAAAAGTATAGAGTATTGGCATTTGACCGTGTGATAGGTCCTGGAATTTGTTGGCATAAAATTTTAATCATTTAGATTCTCTTATAGGGGTTTTCTCAAAGGATAAGATTATAATAGTAGGAGCCTTGTGCAGATTACTTTGGTAACTTCTTGTTTGTGGCTTTTCTATTTGCCAAGACTGTTTAGATCACTAAAAAATTCAATATTGCTTGATCTAATGATTTCTAAAGTTCCATAAAGTCAACAGCTGTGAATAATCTATATCTTTGAGTAAATGACTGATTAATTTAAACTTTTGTGGGTGATCAGTAATAGATCAGGTAATTAAATTCTAATTTGTTAGCCACATTTCTAAATTGTTATTGTATTTTATCTTACCCTTTTTTTTAAAGAATTATTTTATTTAACTTTATTTATTTATACATTTTTTAATTTTAATTTGACCAGAGAGAGAGAAGAGAAAGAATGTGAGACAGCAAGGCACCAGGTTCAGGACTCGAACCATAGTCGCCCATGTGGGAATCCAGCGCCTTTAACCACCACTCCATCTGCCAGCCCCATCTTACCCTTCTTTACAATATAGAAAGACCTTATTGAGTTTTGCTTAGCTCTGATCATGTTTTAAATCTAAAGATACTCAGTTTTGAATAAAATAGAGTCTTTCTAAAAGATTGTAATTTTAAATGATAGTATTCCATTCATACAATTGCTATTTTACATACATGTTGAGCATCCCTAATTTGAAAATCCAAAATCCAAAACAAGCACTGACATGATATCACAAATGGAAAATTGTACCCCTGACCTGTGATGGATTGTAGTCAAAGTGCTGCAATACAAAAAATATATAAAATTACCTTTAGGCTAAGTATGTAAAATGTATATGAAACATGAATGAATTTTTTAAAATAATCATTTATTTTTGCATATTTATTTATTTATTTATTTATTTTTGAGAGGTTTTTGCTATAGAGCACATGTACTCACCAGAAAGACAGAGAGAGACAGAAAGAGAGAAATCACCCCCCCAGGGGGGATGGCCACGCCACAGTCCCTTCTCCTTCATTCTCTTCTTGGGATCTTGGGCACACACGCACATGTGCCTGGTGTGAGTTTAAGCCACTGGATCTGGGACTCAAACCTTGGTCAACTAAGTGGTAGTCCAGTAACATAGCCATTATGCCAACTGCTTGTCCCTATTTATTCATTTATTTTAATTTGACCAGAGAGCAATACGGGAGGCAAGGGGTGGGGGAGTGAAAAAGCAAGGTCTGGGACTGGAACCATGTTCGGCCATGTAGGAGTCCAGTGCCTCAACCACCATACCATCTGCTGGTCCCTCCCATGAGACATGAACAAATTTTGTGTTTAGATCTGGGTCTTCCAACATACCTCAGGTATATGCTAATCTTTTTTATGTATTTATTTATTGAGAGATTTTTGCTGTAGGGCACATGCACTTGCCAGAGAGACAGAGAGACACACAGAGACTGAAAGCAAGAAATCGCCCCCCAGGGGGGATGGCTATGCCACAGCAATCCCTTCTCCTCCATTCTCCTCTCAGGAACTTGGGCACACACGCACATGCGCCTGGCGTGAGTTTAAGCCACCAGGTCTGGGATTCAAACCGTGGTTGACTACATGGGAGTTCAGCGACAGCCATTACACTAACTGCTGGTCCTTATGCTAAACTTTAAAAAAAAAAAATATGAAATCCTGAACACTTGGTCCCAAGCATTTCAGATAAAGGATACTTAAAATGTATTAAACTTAGAGAAACTAATCTACTATTTCAGGTGATTCTCAACTATGAACTTGAAAAACAGCAACTTATAACCTAAAGCAATTATTTTTTCTGTTTTTCTTTCTAAAGCTCTTTCACCATGCCTGGGTCACTTCCTTTGAATGCAGAAGCTTGCTGGCCAAAAGATGTAGGAATTGTTGCCCTTGAGATATATTTTCCGTCTCAATATGTTGACCAAGCAGAGTTGGAAAAATATGATGGTGTAGATGCTGGAAAGTATACCATTGGCTTGGGCCAGGCCAAGATGGGCTTCTGCACAGATAGAGAAGATATCAACTCTCTTTGCATGACTGTGGTTCAGAATCTTATGGAGAGAAATAGCCTTTCCTATGATTGCATTGGACGGCTAGAAGTTGGAACAGAGACAATCATCGACAAATCAAAGTCAGTGAAGACTAACTTAATGCAACTGTTTGAAGAATCTGGGAATACAGATATAGAAGGAATAGATACAACTAATGCATGCTATGGTGGCACAGCTGCTGTTTTCAATGCTGTTAACTGGATTGAATCCAGTTCTTGGGATGGTATGTTACACACCTCGATTTAAAACAAACAAACAAAAAACATATATCCTTGAGGATGAATAGACCCAAATGACCTTATAATTAATACTATATACAAACTTTTCCTATTTGCATATAGTATACATTTTTGAATATACTCAGAAAGATATGACTTTCGACTTACCTGAATTGCCATCTGCGAACTTTTCCTGTTTCCATATATTATACATGCTTGAATATATTTAGAAAGATGGCTATAACTCAGCTTACCTGAATTGTGAATTAGTTATCTCATCCTGTAGGACAAATGGTCTCTTCAGAATGTAGTCACATTTTTTTTCTTTATCAAAGATGGGGAAAGAATATTCTGGGAGAAATATAACAGACTTTAGTATACCTGTATGATATTTATAGTGTTGACCACTTTCTTGTGAAATAATCAAAAAATATTTTTCAGGACGGTATGCCCTGGTAGTTGCAGGAGATATTGCTGTATACGCCACAGGAAATGCTAGACCTACTGGCGGAGTTGGAGCTGTAGCTATGCTAATTGGGCCAAATGCTCCTTTGATTTTTGACCGAGGTGAGTGTGTTTGGAAAAGGTTTTCTTTTCCTTTTCTTACAATATACTAAGGAATTTGGAAAGAAATAGAATCTACTTAGTTGAGTCTTCCTTATATTTAAACATCACCTGCTTTATGTGTATTATTTTACTTAAATTCTAATAGAAAATTTATGAATTATAGGTAGTGAATCCCCTACTTTTCAGAAAAGTAAAGTGGATTAAAGTAGGATTTAAGTCATAATTTAAAGTAGGAATTTGTCTATAGTCATTGGCAAGTTTAATTTATCTTTAGTTTAGTAAGGCAACTGTAATCTCCCAGATTTATGAAACTTACATGAAAAGGTTGTTTACCAAAGTGGAGTTTTAGGACTGGATACTGTTATGTTTCATTTCAATTGTGTTGGCTTCATGTTTTGATTTCTATACTGGCAAGTAGCAAGAGTTGATGAGATTTTTACAGAGGTCCTTAGATAACACAGTAGATTACTAACATAGAAATGTCAAAAGCAGAAATGCATATGGTATCTTCCCTTTTTGTTCTAATAGGGCTTCGTGGGACACATATGCAACATGCCTATGACTTTTACAAGCCTGATATGCTTTCTGAATATCCTATAGTAGATGGAAAACTCTCCATACAATGCTACCTCAGTGCATTAGACCGCTGCTATTCTGTCTACCGCAAGAAGATCCGTGCCCAGTGGCAGAAAGGTGGGTTTTATCTTGAGAGCACTGTAATATGCAAAGTGTCATTAGTGAGAAATTACTTCATGAGTATCCTTTGTTAGTGTCCTCTTAACCATTTCTTCCTCATCTACTGAAGAACATTTTCCCGTGGTTTCTGAGAATGTATAATTTAGGGAAAAAAAAAAGCTCTGGAGATGAGGTGTTTCTCTGCAAAATACCTAGGTTAACTTACTGCTTGTTAAAAAAAAAATCAAAGTAGGGTAAAATAAAATGGCTTAAATTTTATTCATGTTTTGAGAGATTTTGAGAGATGTCTTTTAACAAAGTTAGAGTTTATAATTATGACTTAGAGAAAAGTAAAGGAAGCAATCCCTGCCCCCAACAATCTGTTTGCACTTAACCTGTGAATCATATTTGCTTTTTAGCTGTCATCATTCATCTCATTTTTTAATCCTGAAAAAGCTTTGGAGGCACTGAGAAATTAATTATTATATAAAAATCAATGATATTATAATACAGAAGTCATAATACTTTAGCTGAATGTATTTAAGAGGACAGTGATTTTTCTAACTTTTTTATTAGAACTCACAGTAAGAAGTGTACTTCATACAATACATGCGTGTTAAGCTGAAACTCATCTTGCAAGTTATGCTGTTGCTATTTCTCTGCCCTATTTTACTTTTCTAAACACTCTATTCTGTTAAACAAAGTACTAGTTCTGACCCACCAAATTGATTAGAGATCCTGCTAATGTGCTATGACCAAATTTGAACATCTATGGGATGTAGTAGTATATAATACATATTATTCCATCTCTGGATATCTTTTTTAAATCTGCATCTTAAACTAGAGTGATTTCATTATACAATGTATGTATTTGGGGTTGCGATTTAAAGATATAAAAACATCCTAGCCTTGTTCTATAGACAAACTTCAAATTTTCATGGTTTATGAATTTCATAGTTTTCTTGGACTTCTCTTTCAGAGGGAAATGATAAAGATTTTACCTTGAATGATTTTGGCTTCATGATCTTTCACTCACCATATTGTAAACTGGTTCAGAAATCTCTAGCTCGGATGCTGCTGAATGACTTCCTTAATGACCAGAACAGAGATAAAAATACTATCTATAGTGGCCTGGAAGCCTTTGGGTAAGAAGAGCTATTAATAGTTCTTTTCCTTCTATATTAGAGCATTTTTAAAAAAATAACTGTTAAACTATTTTAATTTTTTTTAAAAAGAATTATTTTATTTAACTTTATTTACTCATTTATTTTATTTTAATTTGACCAGAGTGGGATGGGGGGGTGGGGAGAAGGGAAAGTGAAAAAGCAAGCTGCCAGGTCCAGGATGCGAACCATGGTTGGCCATGTGGGAATCCAGCACCCTTAACCACCATGCCACCTGCCAGCCCTTAAACTATTATTTGTAAAGACCTGAAAAATTGAGACACAGAAGACTCTTAGAAATCACACAGGCTAATTTATTTATCTAATCAATGAATAAACTGAGTTTCAGAGAGGTGGTGACTTACACAAATTTTACATGACTTCTACTCAGATTTCATGGTTTCTTCCTTTTAGCATCATTTGCATCTTCACTATAGTAGTATAACCCAACAAGGGCCCATATTCACTGCTCTTCTCCTTAAATGCTGTCCCTATATCCAGACTGTCACTGCCCCCACCGGAGTCTGCTGTCTTACTCCACCCATCTCTTTCTCACCTGTTAGGCTTGCTAACTTGCTGTGCATGTTACCCTCATACTATTTCTCCCTGCTTGTGTCCTTTCCCTAGTCAGTAAATTCTACCTGACTTTTAAGATTTGGCTACTATAATAGCACGAATTTTCTAACTAAATAGGAATTTTTATGGACTTTAAATAATATACTATTTAGTGCCAATAAAACTTCAGTAGATCTGTTAACCTATTAGAATCAAGGCATTTTAACTTGATTATTTAAAAAAATCTTGAGGGGAAAAAAAAAACATGTACCTATAACTGTTAATGTCATCTATAGCAATTAGCATAATGTCTATTTGACGTTTCAGAAATGAGAAAAGAATCATACACACTTGGAGGTTTGATTACTAATTGCACGCACTATATAATATCTAATATAACAAAAACATAGTCTTTGGACACTGTAAAATTGTCTTTTTTTTAAAACAATCACTCAGGGATGTAAAATTAGAAGATACCTACTTTGATAGAGATGTGGAAAAGGCATTTATGAAGGCTAGTTCTGAACTCTTTAATCAGAAGACAAAGGCATCTTTGCTTGTATCAAATCAAAATGGAAATATGTACACATCTTCAGTCTATGGTTCCCTTGCATCCGTTCTCGCACAGTAAGTATAATTTCAGCTACTTAACTCCCCTCATTTGGGAATGTTAGATTTCTAAGATCAGATCGAGTGCTGGGCATGTCGGTTGTAGATCACAGAATGATATTTTATCTTCAGGCTCTCTTGTCTGCTATTGGCTATTGATTTGTAAGATATATGGGTTGAGGCTGTGGTTCTTCCAGAAGTTTTTGTTTTATATTGAGTTTTCTGGCTGCCATTTTCATAGTTTTATTATTCTCAACCAGTAGTGAACCATTAATCTCTAGTTGACAAAGGAATTTATTTTATGGTATAACACCTTTCATAAGCCATACCAGTCCCAAAAAAGATGAAAACTCTTGTTTTTTGTGTATGTTTACTGTAACATAAGAAGTGTAACTCAGATGCAAAGAACTTTAATTAGATATCACCTTAACCTGTAGTATACATTTTTATTTCTACTTGATGGCTTCTTACGCATTGTAGTTTGGGATCTGGTAAATTTCTTAACTGTTCTTTTGCCCTATACAGGTATTCACCTCAGCAATTGGCAGGAAAAAGGATTGGAGTATTCTCTTATGGTTCTGGTTTGGCGGCCACTCTGTACTCTCTCAGAGTTACACAAGATGCCACACCAGGTAAGTGCTAAGTCTTAGAGCAAGACTACTGAGAATCTACTGTGGTGAGATTGATTAAGGAGACATCTCAAGTGAACACTTGAATCTGTCCCATAGATCATTACAACATTTTAATCTTCATCAACTTAAAAAGGGTAGGACGAAGTTGCCTAATTTTTATAGGTTTATGGTCTGAACTGTTTGTGTGTGCCTTTTCTGTAGGAAGGAGCAAAACCATAGAGAAAAACTGATGAAAACTTAGCATTACTTTGCTATTATACCATGGATTGCCCATTTACAGCTTAATTATAGTTCCAAATCCCACCTGTTTCCTAACTTGTCTTCTGGCCAATGCTGAGTGAATGTTTAGTCAGAGATCACAGGAAGCTTTATCAAATGTGAGGGGCCTTCAGAAAGCTCATGGAGAATGCATATTATGAAAAAAACTGCATGGCTTTAAAATTTTTTTGCTCCAAAATAAATTCATGCTTTTAATTCCATTTTCCCATGAATTTTCAAAGTCCCCTTATAGATACCACCTTTTTAATTAAACAATAGCCAATAATTCTAAAAGAAATTAAAAGTTGTTTTTTCATTTGCAAGATTTTCAGGCTTTTTTTAGACATGGTATTTTTTGTCTTTGATGTTGGAATTATTTACCATTTTAGGATCTGCTCTTGATAAAATAACAGCAAGTTTATGTGATCTTAAATCAAGACTTGACTCAAGAACTTGTGTGGCGCCAGATATCTTTGCTGAAAACATGAAGCTCAGAGAGGATACTCATCACTTGGGTAAAAATATTAGATTGTGTTTAACTAAACTCCAAAGCCTATTAGTGGGCTATATTAACATCATTCATGCTACATATAAAATAAGGATATCAGGGCCAGCCGGTGGCATGGTGGTTAAGGCAGCTGGATCCCTGAAGGCCAACTGTGCAGTCCAAGTCCCAGACCTGGTGGCTTGGAGAACACATGGAACACATGTGTGTGTGCTCAGAATCCCAAGAGGAGAATGGAGAAGGAGGGATTTTCAGCATGCCCACCCCCCTCTTGGGGATGCGTGTGCCCTCTCTCACTCTCTCTCTTTCTATCTCTCTCTGCTGAGGACACATGTCCTTTAGCAAACTAAGTCAATAGTTTGGATATCCAGGCTTCATTCAGCACTAACCATTTGTCAGTGAAAATTGTAAAGGAATGTGAAACTTACTTTTAGCTTTATTGCCTGATGAGTTTGTATATCATAACTAATTTTTTCATATTTTCTCCCTTTCCTTTAGTCAACTATGTTCCCCAGGGTTTTTTAGATTCACTTTTGGAAGGAACATGGTACCTAGTTAGAGTGGATGAAAAACACAGGAGAACTTATGCTCGGCGTCCCTCTCCAAATGATGACACTTTGGATGAAGGCGTAGGACTTGTGCATTCAAACACGGCGACTGAGGTAACTAAGGCTTATTGTGTTCATCTTGCTCTTTGACAGGGTAAGAGGGTTCTAGCCCCAGATCACAGGGTTTGGAGGACCTACCTGAGATTTAACAATTATGTCAGTAGAGAAATTTAGAACAAAGGTACTAAGAGCAGATTCCAGCTGTTTCATTTTCAGCTGTATAAAGTGCTTTGCTCTTGAATTGTTAGCATTTTCAAAGTGCATAGTAAACACTGGATTTTATCAGTAATACCAGAATTTAAAGAAAAACAGATATAGAGAGAAGGCTCATGTGTGGTAGCTATCTCACCAAGAGACAGAGTAGGTCCAGGGGATCAAGCCCTTCATATCTCATCTCAGACTATTGTAAAAGTCTACCTCTAAATTGTCAAGAAATAGTAATAATGATTTGAATTCCTATTATATGCTAGGCATTTTACTTGATTATCTATTTAATCTGTACAACAACCTGAGGTTTATAAATGATACTGTTCTCGTTTTAGAGATGAGCCCCAAGAAGTGAAATTACTTGCCCTGAGTTACAGCTAGTAACGTTTCAAATGGAGACCTTTATAACCTGGACGTTATATATTTTATTTGTTTATCACAACTTTGGCAAATGTATCATCACACTTCCTGCTCTTAAGACAAGTTAGATAGCAAGTCAAGTCACCAGTGCTTGAGCTACAAACACAAGATACAACAAATATTAGGTCATTGGGCAAGTCATGACATATTTTTCTGTTTTTCTATGCAAAAATGCATCATGATTTCCCGATGACCAATGAAATACTGTGTATGATGGATCTTTGGCCTTCCCCTCTCTTGCTGTATAGATTGTATAGTAAACCCACCACAAGGTGAAGAACGGATATTTAGTCCCCTCCATGAAAAGTCATAGAGAGTATATCATTAGCATAACCTCTCCAAAGTTGTCCTTTATTAGTTGCTCTAGTGGGAAAAAATCCTAAGAGTTAAAAACATTTTTCTTTTCATTTTAGCATATTCCAAGCCCTGCTAAGAAAGTGCCAAGACTCCCTGCAACAGCAGCAGAACCTGAAGCTACTGTCATCAGTAATGGGGAACACTAAGACACTCTGCAAAATGCAAGGCTTCGATGTGGGTTTGAGGGTGGGGTGTGGGTATGGTTGAAGGAATGGTTTATCTGGGGACAATGTAAAAACATTACACGTTGCTTAAATTTTTATGTGACTGACATGAAGCCTGGAAAATTACCGTGTTCTTGGAAAAGTTTCTTTGCTCAATATGCTTCCTGTTGTGGTCTAGCAATGCTAAATGTACTCGAATGACGTCAAGGGCTTTGTAAAACTTCATACCTCTTTGGCCACTTATATGCATGAAGTTTAGTTTTTAAACATGGTGTGATGAATCGTGTGCTTCTTGCAGAAGGAAGCAGAGGCACTCGTCTCCAGTTAAACCTTTCTTAAATATGTGAGAATTTTATACTTTAAATGAACAAAATTACTGAAAGTACCTGTGGTTTTTGAAAAAACTTTCTAGTTTGGGGAATGTGGACTTAAAATATGTTATACACAAATCTTGTTTGAAAATGGCAAAAACAAATGTGTTCTTTTTCTAACATTTATAATTCCTGAAGTGGAAGAAAAGACTTGGGACAAAGACACTGGTTCTGGAATCTGGAATGTTGCGTTAAGTTCGGGTCAGTAGTGACTGAGTGATTTTAATGACCTCTGCACAGAGGTGCTAGTCTTCAGCAGGAGTCTGGTATAGAACCCGGTCTAGTTGGGAGCGATGGATATACCTCTACACGTGCTCCCAAGTCAGCACATGGCGGGTTATGCTGAACGACATGGAAATATGTTATTAGAGGTGTGCATGAGGAAATTTGTTATTGCAATCCTTCTTTGTCTTTTTATTTTTTAAAAAATAAATGAAACATTTTTCTGGCTGCCTTTTTTTGAAAAAAATAAAATGGGAGGAAATATGGGGCAGGGCATTATTAGGTTACTTCTAATGCTTCAGTGTTATAAAGTCAACTCGTAGACTGACAACCTAAATTTCTGGTGTGAGTTCTTTTCCTTTGTTTATTTCTGTTCAGTGAAAATAACAAAGAATAACCCAATTTTTACATAGTCTGACTGGCCAAAAAGAATATTCCACTTCAAGGTCAAGAAGTAGGATTTATAAAGCATTTCCTTGGACTTTTTCACCTTAAAGAAACAACAAACTACTATCACATGGGATGAATAAGATTAGACAGTTTTGTAGATCTTTTTGGTGCTGAACTATGACATGAGCCTTATAGGTTGTAAAATAGAGATAGTTGGAACTAATGTACAGAACTAAATTTTTTAAACTTTATTTTCTGTTAAATTCTGTGAAGTTTCAGTTATCTAAAATAAACGTACACAAATATGAAATGTAATTGTTTCAGATCGCAAGGTAATATGTAATGTAGTGTTTGTAAAATACTCTTATCTAATATTAACTAGTAGTGTTTTGATCTGTACAGTTATAATTTGTTAAAATGACTTCATTTTCACATCACCAATGTAGATTAATAACGTAAGTTCAGATTTAAATAATGGTGGGAAAATGGTGCATGTATTACTTTTTGCAAGTATTGGGAGTTCGGTATGTTTTGAAAAGAGTAATTTAACTTTTGGGTGCCGGGAAATGGGTTTTCTCAAAGTCCATTGCAGGCAATGGGCAGGCCTGGTAATACTGGCACAGAATATTAACCATACACCTTATTAACGATGAGGTGAATAACTTTGAAATAAAGTTTTAGAGAAATATTTCAGATATTGGAGTACTCTTTTTTTCCCTGACCTAACAACTTAGGCGAGAAGTCCACTAATACGCTATTTTAAAATACGGGTATTTATTTCAGTTCATTTACTCATTTCATTCATTCATTATTCCACAAATATTTGAACACCTAATTTAACAAGGCACTCTGCTTAAGCCAGAAATAAAAAGATGTACAAGATATAGGGTCTTGCCTTTAAAGAGCTATTTGTCTAGTATAGAGGAATTTATACCAATAACATATTATTATACGTCAAAGAAATTAACTTCTAAATTGGGTGGTAAACATGTATAAACTTTGCTATAAATATTTATAGAGTTACTGTGTTTTCCTTAAAAATGAACAAAACCCCTAAGACTAAGGATTGGCAAGTAAAAGCAAATTTTATATTCAGAATAGAACTGCCCACTACTATCTAGAGTTGCCAGCCTGCAAGTCCTATGTTGTTAGTGATCCCAAGGTACAAAATGGCCTTTCTTCATTAAGGATCTAATCCACAGGAGCATGTCTCTAATTTGATTTTTCTGCATAACCTCTATCACTATTGGATATTTTCTTTTTAAAAATATATATATTCAGGGGCACAAAGGCAGTGTAGTGGTAAAACTTGGTACTGAGACTGGCATACATGGAAAGGTTTTAGGTTTGCATCCAGAGACTTCCCTGAGCATGCAGGGCGAGTGTATGCCCATGACTTGGGGCTGGCTGAAGCTGGGTGGATTGCAGCAGCAAGACCCAGTTGGCAATGCTATCTCAGTCTCCTGATCATGGAAGACAGACATAAATAAACTATATAGTCATCCCTTGATATCCATGGGGTAATGATCCAAGACCTCTCTTGGATATGAAAAACCTACAGATGCTCAAGTTCCTTATATAAAATGGTACAGTATTTGCATGTAACCTATACATAGCTTCCCATATATTGTAAATCATATCTAGGTAACTTGTAATACCCAGTATGCCATAAATGCTATGTAAATAGCTGTTATACTCTATTTAAGGAATAATGGCAAAAAAGAAAAGTCTGGGCATGTTACATACAGACACAACCATCCTAGGACTACCTATATAGTACTTGTCAGCAACAATGTGATTTTTTTTTTTCCCAAGAGATTTTTGCTATAGGGCACATGTGCTTGCCAAAGAGACAGAAAGACAGAAAGTGAGAAATCACCTGCCAGGGGGTGATGGCCACACTACAATACCTTCTCCATTCTCCTCTTGGGCACACACATATACATACCTGGCATGAGTTTCAAGCTGCCAGGTCCAGGACTCGAACCATGGTCAGCCATGAGGGAGTCCAGTGATATAACCATTATACCATCTGCTAGTTCCCAATGTCATGATGTTTTTTTTGGGGGGGAGAGGGTTTTGCTATAGGGCGCGTGTGCTCACCAGAAAGACAAAGACAGAAAAGGAGAAATCACCCCCCAGTAGGCATGGCCACACTGCAATTCCATGTGCACACCCAGCGAGAGTTTTAAGACACTGGGTCTAGGACTCGAACCATAGTCAACTACATGGGGAGTCCAGCGACATAGCCATCATGCCAACTGCTGGTCCCATCATGACGTTTTTGATCTGTGGTTGAGTTCACAGATTCAGAACCTGAGAATGCAGAGACCAGAGGGCCAACTATATAGTTGTTAATACCTTTGTCCTGTAGCATGTCCTGCACGTAAGAGAGGGACCTGGCCTACCTCTTTGTTGTTGTCTCCTTGGAACCTTAAACAGTATGTGGCATGTATAGTTTCTGATGAACTCAATGAATGCTGGAATTTGAGAATAAGAACAAGGTCCCAAATCAAGCCAGAATCTGAACTAATAAACATTTTAAGGGGCATTTGCATATCTTAAATTTAAATTTATTTAAAAATTACAAAAATGCCTTCACCCAGGTTGTCCATGAAAGAAGTTTTAAAGCAGCAACAATGATCTTGGTTAATCACCAGCAGTCTAATGCAATTTATAAAATTGAACAAAATTTGGATGTGTGTCGTATGCCTCTGTAAACACGAGACCCTTTCTTTAGGTCTTTTTCTTTGGGGTCTGGTAGTATCATTATTGGGACACTTTCCAAAGCCCTTTTCCTTTGGACTCTATGTAGAACGATTCTGTAGACCCCCGTGATGGAGCTTCTAGCATCTCTCCCTTGGTTATTTCGAATATGTTCTTCCGTAATCCCCAAATGTTCTAAAGTGCTTTTGACCTCATTTTCTTCTTCTTTGAGAGTGCTGGTTTCTGACAAGTGTTTGGGATCCAGCTGGAAAGGCTCCAAAGGGGTGGGGTACGGCACCCCTTGCATCCATTCGTTATTCATGATGTGGTCGATCCCATACCTCTCGGTGGGGACTGGCTGAAGGACTCCTCGGATGAGGCGGTGGCAGGGCTCTGACACATGCGGAGGCACGCTGTATGTGCCCTCGAGGATGCTCTTCTTCAGTTTGGCCACAGTCTCAGCCCGAAATGGCATGGTGCCAGTCACCATGAAGTACAGAAGCACCCCCAAGGCCCAGATATCCACATAAACACCGACGTAGTGCTCGTCTCGGAAAAGTTCAGGTGCGGCATAGGGAGGAGACCCACAGAAAGTGTTCAGCATTTCACCTTTTTTACTTACTGTGCTAAATCCAAAATCACCCACCTTCACACAAGTATTATTGGTATAGAATACATTTTCTGCTTTCAGATCTCTATGAATAATGTGGTTTTCGTGCTGTGGAAGAAGACATAGGGAAAAGTCATTTTCAAAGTGAAATACCAAAATAAAAAATATATCAGCTACTCTGATAGACAGTGAGATGATGATGTTGTAATCATCAAAATTAAATGGAGAGCAACTTAAATCATGTTAGCAAACCCTGTTAGAACCTTTAGCCCAACACCCACACGCCCAAACAGGTTCTAGTCTTCTGTGGGATCTGGGTTGGGATAAAGCCAGATATAAGACCGAGATCTTATGAAACCACACAATCTGAAATGATGAAATAGTAATCCTTGGTTTCTGTGTTCATACATGGGGTTGTTCTGGCTGACGGATCTCTTGACCGGGACTAAGACCAGAAAGGCTTGGAACCCTCCCCCAGCTCTCCAGCCATGCTGTTTTGCATGGGTTCCTTTATCTTTGCAAAACTCAGTAGAAGGAAGCAGGCGGCATTTGGCAAGGCACAAGCATCAGGTCCCACTGTGGGTTCTGAGTGTATGCCCCACTCCCACCATTGCATTGTGGATCCAACAATTTTCTGAGGACCCTTGACCTGTTTGGTCCCACGAGCTCTTGCGAAGTGGTTTGTTACTTTTCCCATTGGGTCTCATGGGGTGAGAGTCCAGGCTTTGGAGCCTGGCAGCCTGGCCGATTCTACGTTCTACTATTTCGCCGTGTAACGCAAGATATTGATCTCCACCCCATACTGCTGTTGTGAGAACTGTATGCAATGCTCTATCGACAAGGCTCAGCATGGTCCTGTATATAAACAACCTCAGTAAATGTGATTCACTCTTCCTCCTTTCAGAGGTCAGAGAACTGGGAGGAACGGCAGGGCACAGAGCTTCTGAGGTCTCACTCCTGCCCCCTCCACTGCTGGTTTTCTAATGCTCGCCCGCTGGATTACTTTTCCACATAGACTATGAAAGAATCTATGCCCCTCTGTCCTATTACTCTGTTTGGATCTGGCTTAACCCCGGCCCTGGGAAAGTTTACCACACACCAGGCCCCTTGAATGACCACTGGTGATACCACGTCTGACACTCCCACCACGGCTGCAACCAAGCTCTACTCTCTGGCTCACTTATTCTTCCTCCTCTCCCTCCCTACTGCTAGGTTACATAGTCCCCTGTTAATTCTTTGGCTAGGAGTTTTTACCCCCAGACAAGCAACTAGAAACAACCTCTCAACTAATATAAACTCCAAACAAGTTTCTCTTTTCTTCCACTGGAAAGACCCTTTTAACTGACATCTGAGTAAAGAGAGTGGCCAAGACTTTTGCACTAACGGGAGTGAAAGGGGTGGTCAGTGCCAATCGAGTTCTTCTGACATGCCCCGTGATAGAGATGGAAAGAACCCGTTCTTGAAGGAACTAAAGGGGGCATTTAGGAGTCCAGATTTATCTAAAGAATTGGAGAACTAAAATAAGAATGACATAACCAAGTGTTAATCTGCTGGGCACAGAGCCGTGAGAACCAGGGGAGTTTGCTGAAAGCAAGAAAGATCAGTGTGAGCTGACATGCGATTGAAGAACGTTCCAGAGAGAGACAGATAGAACTGAGCTGGTCATGAAGTGTGGGCCGGATTCAGAATATGAGACAGGATAAGGGAAAGGGCATCCTAGACAGCGTTAGGAAAATAAGGTCAAAAAGCATTGAGGAGCCAGCTTTCTGGGCAGTGAAAGATGAGACTGCAAAAATGGGCATGGCCAGGGAATGGGGCTGCCCTGAGTGAGGTCTGCCAACTTCTGCAGGAGCCAGGAGGGTGTCATGTAACTGGAGAGTCCTAGATGTTGTTTTAAGCAAGGAGCACGATCCCAGTCAGACTTCTACTGTCCCTTCTTAGGACTGGCAGGCCTAAAGCCCTCCAGGCTGCTTGAGTGGTGGGAAACCGACGCTCCACAGGCTCAGTGAGGGTAGGAAGGGAGCAAGACTCATTCTTCACCCCTGCTCACCATGTGCTTCACGGCAGACAGAATCTGGGAAAAGACGAGCTTGCTTTCTGGTTCGGGGAGCTTCCCTTCAGTGCTAATTTTCCCAAAGAGCTCCCCACCCCCCGCGTACTCCATCACCAAGTGGAGCTTGGATAGGGTCTCCACGACTTCGTAAAGGCGGATGATGTTGGGATGGTGCAGTTTTTCCATGCTGGAGATTTCGTGGGATAGTAGCCTTTGGGTTTTCTGGTCTAACTTGGTCTTGTCCAGGATCTTAATGGCCACCTTTTCTGGGGGAAAAAGAGAAAGGCAAAGGATGTGCCAGAGTTTATGGGGAATCGATCTTTAGGACTGGAAGGGACCTGGACTGGCCCCTTTATTTCACTAGACCTAGGCCTAGCGGCTGTTCCTAGGCTCACAGAGCTCATCAGTGGTAACGACAAGACAGTCCTCAGGTTCAACAGCGGGGCTCTTCCACCGGGTCAGTGTGAGTCTTCCACACACAGCTGTGATGCCAAATTCTGCCTCTCAAGGGGGTTTTCAGTTGGATGATCTTTATCGAGATCTTTATCCAGATACAGTTAAAGCCCCTTTGCTTACCTCAGGCAGCCCTTCGAGATCCGATCTGGCCCATCTCGTCAGCCCCATTGTCCGTCATTCCTGCCAATTTCCCATGCGTGCTTTAGTCCAATCATTACAGAAAGTTTTGGAGTCTCCTGAAAAGGTACTGAACAATCGCCTCTGGCCCTTTCCTTTTCCTGAACCATTCTCTCCACCGCTCCTCCCCTGCTCTTGACTCAGTTAACTCCTGATGACCCTTCAAGGCTAGCCTGAAGACTAACTCCTTCCAGGAGGCTTTCTGTGACCCCTGTCCTAGGATGACTGTGAAGTCTGGATTCAGAGCTGCTGGGTACTCTCGTCTCAGCGCTGGCATGTAAGGGAACATCCACAGCACGCCAGCACTCAGGGTTACAGAGGGAGGGTGGGAATAGGCACTGCCATGTGCTGCTGGCAGGGAGTGCAGTGGTTCTGGGTTGTCGTTTGGATTTAGGTGTTAAAACCCTTAAAAACACACCCTGTGTGGGGCCGGCAGATGGTGTAGCAGTTACGTCACTGGACTCCCACAGGGCTAACCGCCATCCAAGTCCCAGACTTGGTGGCTTGAAAATCATGCTGGATATGTGGGCATGCAAGCCCAAGATCCCAGGAGGAAAATGGAGGGGAAGGGATTTGCAGCATGGCTATCCCCTCACCCACCCCCAGGAGGGACAGGGGAGTGATTTCTCCTTTTCCCTCCCACTGTGTCTCTCTTTCCAATGACCACACATGTCCTAAGACAAAAAAAAAAAAAAAAAAAAAAAACCTCTAAAACACAAACACACACATACACACCCTGTAATCCAGCGATTTTACTTTAAGCAACAAATCTTTTGTTTGCTTGCTGTGGGCGCATGCACTCACAAGGAAACAGACAGAGAAGATGGGGTGGGGCGGTGTGGAGTGAGAAAGCACCCCCAGAGGGATGGCCGCTCTGCAGTATCTTCTCCATTCTTGCATTCTTGGGATTCTGGGTGCCGCCAAGCCCAGACACTTGGCCATGTGGGATCCAGCCACCTTAACCTTCATGCCATGTGCTGGCCCATGGTTAATCTTAAAGAGAATCCTATACATACATACATGTTCAAGGATGTGTGTGTAAGAAGACGCCTGTGAGATTGGCAACAGCCTAAATACCCGGCAAGAGAGACAGTTAAAGTGTAGGACAGCTACTTGTGATACTCCATGCAGCTATCAAAATAATGATATTGATCTTTATTCATTGATATGAAAAGATATTCCATTTATCATGGGACCTCAAAAAGTTCAAGGAAAATTAAATTACAGCATGAGTATTTTTGGTGCAAATAATAACCTTTTCATACTACAAATTTTCCATGAACTTTTGAAAACTTTCCCATGTAAGTGAGGAAAATATAAATACACACTTGAATAGAAAATTTGGCAGGATATTAATCAAAATGTTTACATATTTATTTTAATTTTAAAAATTTTACCAAAGGGTACATTATGCTTACCAGAGAAAGACAGAGGAGAGAGGGAGAGGGACAAAGCGTCATCCCCCCACACACACACTGGGGAGTGGTCACACCACAATCTCTTCTCCTCTATTTCTTTACCCTGTTGGGATTCGGAACTCACATACACAGAGAGATCCATGCCCTTTCCTAAGCTGCTGGGTCCGAGACTTGAACCACAGGGTCAGCCATGTGGTATTCAACAACCCTAACCACCAAGGCCACAGAGCCAGCCCTAGATTATAGGGGATCACAGATGTTTCGTTTTGTTTTGTTTTTTAATTTTGTTTTGCTTAGCTGTGGTTTTAATTTTTTCTATAATGAATATAAGTAGTGTAATGAAAATGGTTAATGTTAGCAAATAAATGAATCTGAACTGCAAAGTAAAATGTTACTCTTCTTCTTCTTTTTTTTTTTTTTTTTGGTTCAAATGGGGCCAGAGATCCTTTTAGATAAGAAAGCAGTAATTGGGCTAGTAGAACAGGATCCTGTCTGACCTAGTTTAAAAACAATGGCTTTGGAGAACTTGGGCACAGTGTTATTGGCAGAAAATAGATGCCGCTACTGTAAAACAAGAGTGCTATTGGCATATCGAAGTGGTCCATTATGGTTTCTGGAATGGAAAGAGGAAGGATTTACTGGCATCAGCTGTGGCCAGTGCCTCCTCTGGTGGAGGCACCGGTGAGCAGCGAGTAGGCAAACCAGACAAGAGCAGAACCCTCCGTTTTGGTGATCTTGGCTGGCAATCAGCCCCAGCAAAATGGACCTCCAGTCTCAATCCGTGGGGCGTTCCTCCTGGTCATGTCTTTTCTACTTTTCAGTCTTTAGGATTAAGATTCCCTCTGGCTATTTACCTGAAGTAGAAACTTCTGGGTCTTTTCGTTTTTTGAATAATTATTTTATTTTACTTGATTTATTTATTTTATTTATTTTTAATTTTGAACAGAGAGAGATTGAACGAGAGAGAGAGAGAAGGAATGTGAGAAAGCAAACTGCTAGGTCTGGGACTCAAACCATGGTGGACCATGTGGGAGTGCAGCTCCCTTAACCACCATGCCACCTTTACATAGCCTGTTGGATGAGTTGTTATTTAAGGGTCAGCATAATAAATTCCATCCTTCAAGTTCACACATGGTCTATAGAAGAGTCTGCCGTTTCCCCTCAGTTCTCCTCAGTCACTGACTCAGACTTTCTGGAAGGTGCTTATCACACTCTGCAGCTCTCGCCTCCCTGTGTCAGTGGTACACTGTTCCACAATCCAGTGTGTTTAGAACACACCAGGAGATCAGGAGGTGTGGGTACCAGGCTGCTGTCACAAACTCCCTTGAGCACAGTCCTAGCTTTCTTGTTCTCCTTTTCTTTTCCTTTCACAATTTTTAGAAAAGCCTCCTCTCCCAGGGCCGGGGTACAGTGAGGCAGGAGGGGTGTTGTAAAGGTGAGTGCTTCTTTCAATTCTGTGCCCTTGGGGGCCACGACTGCCCCACTTGTGCTAAATCAATTGTAGCCAGGCCTCATAATATAAAAATATACTCACATAAAACATTAAAAGGCTCGAGACCAGCAGTTGGCATAATGGTTATGTTGCTGAACTCCCATGTAATCGATCGCGGTTCGAGTCCTGGACCCAGTGGCTTAAACTCATGCCAGGCGCATGTGCGTGCCCAAGATATTGAGAGGAGAATGGAGGAGAAGGAATGGTGGCGTGGCCATCCCCCCTGGGGGGTGATTTCTCGCTTTCTGTCTCTCTGTCTCTCTCTGTCTTTCTGGCAAGTGCACGTGCCCTATAGCAAAAACCTCTCAAAAAATAAAAATAAAAAATAATTAAAAGGCCCTAGTAGTCCAAACTGTCACTAGGTGGTAGAAACTGGGGCTCCATAAAGAACTAGAACTCTAAATTTCCTTTTTCAACACATGTTCAGTGAGTACCTGTTGCACACCAGACAGTGAAAAAGACAAGCGCTGCTCTTACAGTCCAGCAAGACAGACAGACTGGGAAACAAAACACATAATAACACCTCTATTGCAAGTGTGGCTCCGACTAGGAAGGCAGATAGATAAAAAATGGGAAGGCCGCCCCAGGTCAGGAACTTCCGCTGTGACCAGGAGTTGAGGAAAAAGGTCCGATACATGACCTGTGGGGATGGCCCGGGTGCTGGGCCTGGGTGAGACCAAACACCTGTGCTAGACCTGAAAGGAGCCCACTGTGCTGAAAACATAGAATGGCCATTGGGGACTGGCCCCACACCAGCCTGGCACAGTGAGCAGGGGTCAGGTAACCTAGGGCCTCAGAGTACTGCAGGGAATGTGGCCTTTGTGTTTAGGGTAATGGGAAAACGTAACCAGGTTTTAAGAGTGTTACCATCTGATTCCACTTTAGAAGGCAGTTTGAGAATCACACCAGGAACATGTGCGTGAAAGGAGACTGGAGGAGGAACTGACTGTGGTGTGGGCATCCCCCTCGGGTGATTTGGTGATTTCTCATTCTCGCTCTTTCACACTCTCTGGCAAGTGCATGTACTCTAGAGCAAAAAAAAAAAAAAAAGAAAGAAAGAAAGAAAAAGAAAAAGAAAAAGAAAGAAAGAAAGGAAAGAATGAGCCCTAAAATGGAGGTGATTATAGAAACCCTGAGGCCAGCAGCTGGCATGGTGGTTAAGGGTGCTGGACTCCCACATGGCCGACCACGGTTTGAGTCCAGGACCTGATGGCTTGCTTTCTCACTTTCCCTCTTTCTCTCTCAACCTCTCTGGCCAAATTAGAATGGATAAATATAAATAAAATAATTCTTAAAAAGAAAGAAAGAAAGAAACCCTGGAGAGAGGACTCTCTGGTGGTGACAGGGGAGGAAGGGAGAAGTGGATTTGAAAGGTCAGCCTTCCCTCTCTCCATATCTGAGAACTCTGACACAGGCTCCACCCACACATTCTTTAAGTCAGGGCCTGAAAACCCAATGTCTGTAGAGGCGGGAGTGACAAAAACACAACAGACTTATTGCAAACAAGTGGGGACCGCGGAGCCCTGAGGAGGACCTGCCCCATAACGGACACTGCTACTCAACTCCAGACAGTAGTTACTATTTGGAGTGTTGGCTAAGTGTTGTCGAATCTTCCGATTTTTTTTTTTTTCAAAAAAATCTTGAAGTCTAAAATTTTATGCAAAATCTTCTAATTATTAAGTATCAGCAGTGAATTCAAGTTTCAAAAACCTACATACAACAA